GAGAGAGAGAGAGAGAGAGAGAGAGAGAGAGAGAGAGAGAGAGAGAGAGAGAGAGAGAGAGAGAGAGAGTTTGCTGCACAGTCCACAGAGTGATTCTGACACGTGCTGCTCGGTTGTTTGGCTTTTGCCTTCCAGGAAATCGTCCGAGATGCATGCCCAGCATTAGGGATCACATGACAACAACAATAATTTCGACAACTCCCGGCGGCTGCCAAGCAGAGATTGGATGCTGATTACTCCATTCATACAAGACCTTCCTTGAGGGCGACTTCCAACTACTGCCCCGGCCAATTCTCAATCACACCATCTGGGCCCACCGAACACACACACACACACACACACACACACACACACACACACACACACACACACACACATGCTCACACATGCACTTGCACCCGCACATGCACACACACGGTCAAAACTCAGCAAGTGAGCACATGCCAGTTGGTCACAAATATATTCAGAACACACAGCAAACAGACTCAGAATTGGAATCTTTAGCAAACAGATCAATGGGAGAATGAAACAACATTTTCTCACAAACAGGTTATCGAGTGTGTGTGTGCGTGTGTGTGTTTGTGTGTGTGTGTGGTTGTGATACTCCCCTACACGTGGATGCTAGGCAGAGAAGAAGCCGATAGTCGATCACACATCTTGACTGATTGATCGATTGATTTTGGATTGCAGCGGAGGATAGATTGGGTTCTTGCCAGGGACAGGCTCGCCATGGACCACCGCAATAGTGCACCGGCCCCTTCGTTCATGTGCGTTTCTGTCCTTCTCTGCTTGCTGATGTTGAGCGCGTGTTCTTCCAACAAAACAGCTGCTGCGCAACCGATAACCAGCCAGTCACCTGCATCACTTCCGTTGGCGCGCAATGCGGGAGAGCAGCTGTTGGTCGCCATAGCCGCACAGCCGGATCTCTCCACTTTCATGGTTGCCCTCAGGACTTCTAACGCTGATGCTCATCTGTCCGCTTACGCTGTGGAAAGTGGAGTCACGGTCTTCGCTCCGTCTAATACCGCGTTCAACGATCTTGGTGCCGAATTGTTAGACTGCCTGTTAATTGATCCTGCCGCCAATGAACTGCTCGCACAGATCCTTTCCTATCATATTATTCCGGGGAAAGTTTATTCAGTAAAGAGCCTTCAATCGTTCTCATCGCTCGAGACTGCAGCTGGCCCTTCCATTTCTCTCGAGCATGGAGGCAATGGAGAGGACGTGATCATCAACGATGCAGCGCTTATCACGGGCCCGAATGCAATTGTCATCACGAACGCAACTGTGCACATTATCTCAGCGCTCCTCTTAACGTCCACGGTCGAGTCCGATATGATACACGTGTGCGGTGGTCAGGGGCCTCAATCATCGAAAGCACTGGGCTCTGCCAGACCGCCCGTCTCCATCATCGGCCGTGAATCCGGGATGCTGTGACACTACACAGGTGGCCAAACAAGGTGCGAAGGGTCGGGGAATAAAGTGCGTCTGTCTGTCTGCCAGTCTGTCTGTTCGGCGGTCTGTCCATTTCTGCTCATGTCTGTCTGCTTGGGTGCAATTCCAAGAGGCGAAGCAGCCGGATAAGAAGAGAAGGCGAGCGTTTGGGATGTTGACGTTTTCTTTTTATCTTTTTCAGTGGTGTGATAGGGTTCGTTTCTTTGTGGAGGGAGGGTGTACAACAAGGGAGTTCGTGACTTGTGCAGCAGAGCGGCAATTCAACAAACCGCCCGGGAAGCGACCGTCCAAAGTGACCGTCCTAGAGTGGCATCAAGTGAGGTAATTAGGTCGAAAGAGGAAGTGCGAAACTCTTATCTGCGTGTGTGTGTGTGTGTGTGTGTGTGTGTGTGTGTGTGTGTGTGTGTGTGAGAGAGAGAGA